ATGATTTGCCCCAGAGTTTGGTGTCATCGCCGAACTTGGCCAGTCTGCTTCTGACTCCAATGTCCACATCATTAATGAAGATGTTGAACACTGTGGGTCCAAAGACAGAGCCTTGGGGGACCCCACTGGTCACAGGGCACCATGACAATTGACTTCTGTCAATTACTACCCTCTGGGTCCGACCGCGGAGCCAATTTCCCAGCCAGCGGATCGTGGTGGACCCAAGGCCACAATTGGCCAGTTTCGCCAAGAGGTGATCATGGGATACCAGATTGAAGGCTTTTTTTGTAGTCAAGATATATGACATGAATCTTTTCTCCCTTGTCCAGGTGATAGGTCACCTGGTCGTAGAAGGAAATGAGATTGGTCAAGCAAGACCCACCCGCAACAAAACCATGCTGGCTATCCCTCAGGATGCTGGCATCGGCCAGTTTATTAAAGAGGATGGCCTCTTTAATAAACTTTTCTAAGACCTTCCCTGGGATAGAAGACTTATTAAACCTGGAGTCCTAAAGATGTGATGCTTGACTCTCCTTTTCTTGAGAGAACCTAAAGGCTGTTTTCATTGCTATCTAGCTGTGTAGGGAAATAAGTCTCAAATGTGTGAAGTTTTTATTCTGGATAGGCACTGCCTGAAATAAGAAAGATCCAGAAAGGTAAACAGTTTGATCTGTGGAGTTCCTCATTCCTAAAGATGAAGTGAAGAAGTTGTCTGTTTAATTCTCATTCCTGAAGGGCACAGAATCTGATTCAGTCATTTGGCCTGAATGTTATGTTTGTTTTATACTTAGGTGTGGCCAAAAGCAGCAGAAAAGCAAGCAACCCACTCTGAGCTCTTCAGTCTATTAGTCATGCCCCTGCAGTTTTTCTCACCCCCAGCTATTTCTATCCATTTTTCCTACTAGGCGAGTTTTTAGAACTGTCCCTCCTTTTCAAACAAATATGTATATTTTGAGTTGCCCCTGTGAATGCATGCAGTTCCCCAGTATTGTGTTTATAACTGATGGATTCCCTTCAGTGATGAGACAGGTTCATGGGTAACAGCAAAATTATCCTTTCCCCAGCCCTCCAAAGAAAAGTTGGGCCCCCTAAGTTGGTGATGTAGGAGTGAATTTCAGGGCGTCCAGAAATGAGTGTCCTTCTGGGGGCAGGAATTGAGTGCAATTGGTGGAGATGTCTATATGTTCCTGTATGTAGAATCTGAATTCCACTCCCACTTCAGAAAGGGGCATTTTAGTAGATCATAATTATCTTCCATTTGTAGAAGACAAAGGGGTCTGGAGCATGTGGGCATGGAGATGAATAAGCTTTTGCTAAGCAGAGGAAACAGTTAAGAAAGATGGCCATGTTCTTCAGGAATGTCTCAGTAGGTCTTTGCTTTGCAGGGCAGAGGAACAAAGCACTACGGCCTGATTGTGGTGGGACATTCCCTAGGGGCTGGCACAGCTGCCATTCTGTCCTTCCTTCTGCGTCCCCAGTACCCATCACTGAAGTGCTTTGCATATTCTCCCCCAGGTGGGCTGCTGAGGTAAGTATCGGGAGATAAGACCTAAATGGGCAATTGGGGAATTGTAGATACCTGTGAACTGAGACATCCGATCATTATTATGTCTTAGTTGCCCTAGGGTACATCAGTATCAGGGCCCTGTTGTGCTTGATGCTGTATTGGTAAATAGTAAGTGATAGTTCCCACTCCAAAGAACATAGAGCCACAAAGAATGTTAGGTTTATAAAAGATGGCATTGCTGTTGGTTGATGCCAGCAGCCTTGCTCAGTCTGTCATGGTTTTGGGCCTTAATTATGATGGCAGGTGAATGCTGTCCTGAACATTCATAGTATCTGTGAAGTCACATGGCAGATCAGTCTCCTGTCCAATCCTGTAGTCTCATCCTGTTAACTTTGGCAGGTGTGAGCCACAGCCAAGAGACTGAAAGCACTGAGGATGTGCTTCTCTTCCTATATCCTCCACTGCACAATGTCACATGATGTCTGGACATTGTCTGCCATCCATTTCAGATGCATTTTCAGTAATCTATCAGAATGCAAACACTAGATCTGGTCATGTAACTTAAATGACATCTAAGGAACATCAACCATCTTCAGTCCTGGAGAAGAAAGATATCCCTACAGCAGTCACAACAGTTACTATGAATGGGCTTTATAGTAAACTGGGGAAATCAACTCCTATAACAATCACTGCAGTGAAAGAAGGGGTGCCCTTCCAATGTCCTGGAGCCATACCCATCATAGTAATTACCCTGGACATTGACCTTCAAGAGCTGTTACTGTGATAGCAGCCCTCAAGTAGCTGGAGGACCAAGTCCTCTGCAGTGGCAGTTGGAGACATTGCTCACCACAGTGATCCCTGAGGGACTTCCATTGTTTAACTATGAGGATCTATTCCTGGCAGAGGTCCCTTAGATTGTGGTAGACAGTAGCCACAGTCAGGCTTTTCTGTGAAACTGTGAAGCACTCCAGAGTTCTGGGAGGGGCGCTCTGTGCCTTGTTTTTGATCATTACTGTTCTGTCCAAGATATGCAAGGACATCCAACAATCCTGGTAATTATGTTGGCCTCTGGCTGTTATGATACAGTCTGAAAGTCAGGGTGAAGTAAAGAAAGTGTGACTGTACTTCAAGAACTACTCCCTCTTCCCCTGGGCCTGTGGAAGGGGATGTGGGGGTGTCCCATAGAAGGTGGCACTCTTTGTCCTTTAACAATCTGTAGTGTTTATCCTGTAGGGTGCACTGTCCCTCCTGTCTCTTTGTGTTCGAACACTTCCATTCCTAAACTTAAGCAGCAGGGCCTTATTCAGGGGGCAGGGCAAAGCAGGCACTGGGTCTCCAAGGTATGGGCATGGGTCATGTATTTCAGCCTTGCTGCAAAAGCACAGTGTGGTAGCCCTCAGTAACAGAACTTATGGCTTGCACAGCACCACAGCTCAGATTCAGCCTTTTGGAAATCAAACCCTTCAGAGGCTGAAAACAAATTGGCCGCGGAGTGCACTTGTCTCCTAGTGAAATCCCACTTGCTTCTTCTTGGATCATGTTTCTCTTCCAGTGAGGATGCCATGGAGTACTCGAAAGAGTTTGTGACTGCAGTGGTGCTTGGCAAAGATCTAGTCCCCAGGCAAGTGGAGAAGTCTCAGAATTCCTCACTTCAGTATCTGCTTGTCCTATACCAAAGGCACTTGTTTCTGTTTCTGAAAACCCTCCAGATCATATCTGTCTCCAGTTTCCTCATTTACCTGTCCTCATGTGCTTCTTCCTTGTCCCTCTCTTCCTAGTTACCTGTATTGCTGTATCTTTTACCTGGACACCTATATTGGTGTATCCCACACCTGTGTGTATTGGCATAACCCTCCCCTAGCTCTCAGTTGCCTGTATGAATGAAAAAGGTGAATATCCTGACTGAAATAATGTTCACTGTGGCATCTGACATAGCTGTGCCACATCCCTGGTTACTTGTGCCGTGTCATCTCACACCTGTGTGCTGTCTTGCCCTGGTGTGTTGTGCTGTGTCATTTCATACCTGTTTACTGACTTCCTGGTTATCTGTGCTGTGTCATCTCATACCTATGTGCCCTTTCCCTGCTTATGTGAATTTGGAAACCTCACACTCTTATCTCCTGGAAGATGTGTGCTAACTGATAGGGCATCTGAGTAGGAGCCAAACGAGCTGAATTCTGTTTCCAGCTCTGCTGCCAGGTCAGTGTCTGATCTTGGACAAGTGGCTTTGCATGTCCATGTCTATTTCCCCATCTTACAGAAGGGGATACATGATACCAAACTGCTTTTGTAAAGCACTTTGAGGTCTATGGAGGAAAAGCATTGTGTAGTGCTAAAGGTAACTGGTATGATAAGAGTTTTGACTTATGCATTGTCTCCCTGGCGATCTATGTAGTGGTGTCTCACAGCCTTGCAGCATCTCATCTCTGAACCCTTTTCCTGGTACCTTGTGTTGTGAGGTGACACTCGTATGTTGTCCACTTGTCATCCCCTCTTGTCTCTCTGCCCATCTCTCTGGTCATCCGTATTGTCACATCTCATGTCTGTGTACTATCTTATCAGTTTGTCTGTGGTCTGTAACCGTGTGTATTTGATGATCTGTCACCTGTTTGATGTTTCTTGGCACATCTGTATTTGAGACATCTGTTAATCCTCTGTATCATCTCTTATAGTGTTGTATCCTCTCTTTGTTTGTCTTTTCCCTTGGTTTATACTTGACACAATGCTTACATCTTAGTGGTCACCTATATGGTTTTAGGTGATACCTGTTCTTCCTTCTCTCCTCCCAGGATTGGTCTCTCTCAGCTGGAAGGATTTCGCCGGCAGCTTCTTGATGTTCTCCAGAGAAGTACCAAGCCTAAGGTAAGGAGATTTAAATCCATGTGGTGTTAAGAGTCTCAACACATGTTGTCGTGCAGATATCTAGAGTAGATGAATCAGCAGTGTCCTCAGCTGAGTCTATTTACGAGTTCATACTCCAATTCTAATTTTTCCTGTTCCATAACAAGCAACAGCCAGAATGGACTAAGTAGTGGAGTAGGTGTGAATTTTTAAGCATACAACTCCAGGGTGTCTTCCCACTTTGAGCAGTTGTGGGTTAAAAGTAAATTATGTTCTTCGTTTGGAAATGGAAGAGCTACATAGCATTCATTTCCAGCAGTCTGGGAAATGCCAGTAGCCTTAGGTAAACCAGAAGCCTTAGTTTTGATGGCAAGAATTTTAAAGGTGACCTACAAAGGGTGAAAATGTAGAGCCTAGACACACTCCACATTTACACTGGTGTGGATGTGGAGAGAAGGTGGACACAGCTTACATCTGTGTGACTTACTCAAATCTGGCATCAAATTCCCCCATAAAAATTGGGAGTAAAAATACTTAAGTGTAAGTTATGCTTTTATAGGTATTTCAGAGTCTGTAGCTGATTCTGGGATAGCCATTGGCTTCAAACAAATGGGCTATTTCCTGGTCCTGTGCTGCCTAGCACACTATGTACATTGGTGTACAAAACCAACTGTAAATAGCACTGGAAACATCTGTCCAGGCCCAGAGCTTCTCTCTTTTTCTTGGTGTGTAATAAATTTTTCAGACTTTTGTTTGCATTGATTACACTTCTGCTTTTTTATATTACAAATCTGGATCTTGTCTTAGAACATCCAATGGGTACTTGGAACTCCTAGGTGTATGCTTTCACAAGGACCAGGAAAGTGAGACTTGGTCAGTTGAGAGGAAGAAGAGGCTTCTGTACAGAATCTTTTACATTTTGTTTTCCTTCATTTTTTGCCAATAGCTCTTAAACTTAAATGCCTAATAAGAAGTTATAAAACAAGATTTCTTTTTAAAAGATTCAGCCTCCTTTCAGTTCAGCTGAGGGTTAATAATGCTCCCACTGCAGGTCTGTAGCCCCTTGAAGGAAGCATTCAGCAGAAACAGGGAAGATAAGATATTATTATTTTTTTATGTTTAAAACAGGTTGGGGGAAGGACACCTTTTTATGCATCCTGGTATAGCAAACAAAGGCTCAAGCCCCACATTTTCCTTTGCAGATCATTTTTGAAGTGCTGGGCATGCTGCTTAAAGAAGCCCAATGGTGCACTGTGGGATGATCCTGAAAAACACATGCTTTCCCTTTCTCTGTTTCTGTGTCACACACTGACGTTTCTCCGTCCCCTTCTTTTTCTCTTCTTGGACAGTGGCGAATAATTGTGGGTGCCACAAAGTGTATACCTAAGTCAGAGCTCCCTGAAGAGATGGAAGGGAATTCAGTGACCAGTAACCGTCTCTGGACCCACCCCAGTGACCTAACCATTGCCCTGTCTGCCAGTACACCACTCTACCCACCCGGCCGCATCATCCATGTGGTGCACAATCATCCTGTTGAGCAGTGCTGGTAAGTAGAGTCGGAATCACCTCCTGAGTGTAAGTCATTGTCAGGTGGGTGGTGGGGTGGCACCTTTGGCTTTGCAAAAGAATTCCAGGGGACAACCTTCAAGAAAGTGGCAACATTCCTTGGCTTGTCTGTAAGGTGCTGTTGTCTGGCACTACTGTGTGGTGATTATGTTCATCCTGTGAAGGAGGGAAGGAGGATCTTGCTTTGTTATTGTCTAGTTTTGGATCTTTGGAGTTGTGACACCAGCAAATGTGGCATTACTATGTCATCCCAGCCAGGGGGTAGGCAAAATACAGCCCATGGGCCATATCTGGCCCATCAGTTGATCTTACTGGGCCTGCCAGCAGCTGCTGGGAGCCTAAGGAGGGAGAGCTGTGCCCTGCACCACCCCGCTCTGCTGCAGCTGGGGCTGGGCTGGGCTGGGCTGTGCAGCGCAGCATGCAGACTTGTATACTTCTCCCCCCCACATCCATCTCTGCCCCCATCTGGCTTCCTGTTAGTGCTATAAAGTCTTGGCACCATGGTCACCAGCAGCCAGGCCTGCATAGGATGGGGTGCAGTGCAGTGTGTCAAGTAGCCATCCTGCCCACCCACCGCAATGAGCTTTTGTCACTGCTGCACTGCTAGGAGGCCGGCCCGTGCTGACTGCAGGGAGGGCTCGGCCCAGGTTAGCTGCCCCCAACTTTCCTGGTGCAGCATGGCAGCAGCAGCTCATTGCGGTGAGTGAGCAGGTTGGTTATTCCACACTACATTGCTCCCCATTCGATGTGGGCCCAGCTGCCAGCAGACATGCTGCCAGCACTGTGCAGCACCAACAGGAAGCTGGGTGGGGGGATGTGGGGATAGATGTGGAGGAGTGGCCCAGCCTGGCCCCAGCTGTGGAAGAGCAGAGCGGCACAAGGTGCAGCCCTTCCTTTTCAGGCTCCCAGGGGCAGTTGGCAGGCCAGGTAGGATCAATTGGCATCCCCCTCTCCTCCCCCCACTGGTCCTCAACAGTTCACCAAAACTCCTTAAGTGGCCCTCTAAGCCAAGTAATTGCCCACTCCTGCCCCAGGTCCATCCTCAATTCTGTTTTTCTGCCTCCCTCTCTCATTATTTCCCTTTGGCCACCTCTCTGCCTTACCTTTTATCCCATCTCTCTCTGTCTGTCTTGATAATTACTCCTCTTGCAGTTGCTGTGACCAGGAGGATCCCACATATTTTGCCATTTGGGGTGACAATAAAGCATTTAATGAAGTGATCATCTCTCCAGCAATGCTGCATGAGCACCTTCCCTATGTGGTCATGGAGGGACTCAACAAGGTAAAGTTGAGCAGCTGGGCGAGACTCAACTCAGCACATGTGTGCAGGTGCCCAATCTAAGATTTCTGGAGTAATGAGAGATACATATAGAAGATTTAGGATGATGCTGACAGTGTGAATTTCATGCTTGTGGAAGGGCAAGAACGAGGGAGAAACAAGGGTCTAAGCTAGTAGAGCTCCCACTCAGCTCCACGCAAAAGCTGCTTGCTTGTTGGAGAAGCCAGAAGTCACTTGTTGGCATATGGTTTCATTAACTATTCACGGGCATGTATTACAGTAACACGTAGAGGCCTAATGCAATTCAGTGTGCTGTTGTAATAAGCCTGGTACTTACACATAAGACATGGTATAGTTCCTGCCCCGAGAGTTTCCAGTCTAAGCAGATGATGAGTCAGAAAAGGAGGAAAAATAGAGATGTTTTCCAGTTTTATTCATGTCAGAGCTAGAAACAGAACTTGATTTTTCTGAGAACCAGTCCAGCGCTTTGGCCACCAAACCGTGCTGCATTTCCAAACCAACACCATGCAACTCCAGCCTTGGCCACTCCTGGGTTTCTATCTTCAGGACCTGGCTGTGCCAGACCCTGTCTCCTGTGTTCAGGGTGAAATCTAATCAGCCACAACTTTTGTGGGTCAGCAGTAAATAACTTGAAGCTATGTGAGGCTGTCAAGCACTGGCTAGCAGTATGGAACCATGGGAGAATACCTGACACCATATTATGGGGGCACTATTGGGTATCTCGGCATGTTAGGCAGCCAGAAGTGTTTCAGAAGTCATATGCCCCAACTTGCAGCCCCTGCTTGAGCCAATGAGATTGAATTCATTATTCTCCTCTATTTGGCAGTGGTGAGGCCATCTGGTGTATTGTCTAGTTTTGGGCCCCCCACTACAGAAAGGATGTGGATAAATTGGAGAGAGTTCAGCAGAGGGCAACAAAATTGGTGAGGGGGCTGGGGCACATGACTTCTAAGATGAGGCTGGGGAAGCTGGGATTACTTAGTCTGGAGAAGAGAAGACTGAAGGGGGATTTAATAGCAGCCTTCAACTACCTAAAGGGTGGTCCCAAAGATGATAGAGCTAGACTGTTCTCACTGGTGGCAGATGACAGAACAAGGAGCAATGGTCTCAGGTTGCAGCAAG